TCAATCTCATCCATTTATATAATGCTTTCTGGTTATGCTCTCATGTGCGCACGTGCAAAGCGTACGTGCACGTGCACACGCGCACACGCACACACACACACACGCACACGCGCACACGCACACACACACACACACACACACACAAGCACGGACTTATTTCCCTACCATCCTTGACAGACCCCTTCTTCCTTACAGATCTATTTCCAGTATTTACTAATTTTTGTTTTGCTTAGCTTCCCATGGAGTTTGACTGGGGCTAACTGGAGCTCAGCAGTTGGTGTTCAGCCACATGCTACGCCTCCCCATCTCCCACAGACTGCTCATTAAGTTAGATAGGGTACCACAGTCCCCACCCCCAGCCACCAGAGTTGCCTGTTAGGAGGACATGACTTGTGTGGGCCCAGGACCAGGAGATGCAGTTTCTATAAACTCATGATTGTCATGCTTGGAAGATGTCCCTTCACAGCCATCTTCCATATCTGTGGCTCATAACATCTTTCCACCCTCTTCATCAATGTTCCCCAAGCCTTAAGGGGTCTTGTAAATGTCTTGTTTAGGACCAAGCACTCTGTCCTTTATTCTCAGCACCTTATATGGCTTCTCTGTCTAAGGTGGAGAGTAGCCTTTGTTTGTGAGCACTAACACAGATATTTCATGGGCGACTTTGTGGCATGTCAATTCAGCTGAAGAACCATTCCCTTCTAGGGTCTAAAACTTCTACAGCCATTGGTTTGGACTGCGTTTATAGTAGTAAGTATGGGTTAAATTCTATCCCTATGAACTCTCTCCTGCTACACTTTGATTTTACAATTGATTTTCTAATTTTTAAGTTGGGTACTTGTATTTTCTCAGTCTTCAGTTTTCATTTGTTAAAAATCTTGAGGGTGTTCATTTTCCTCAAGGCTGTCACTGGTTATGTCTCATATGCCTTGATATAGCCCATTAGTTTATAGATAATTTCCTATTGGATCATATAATATGAGAAAGCATTTACAGATACCTAATCCTCCTTTCTCATTTCTGTGTACAATTTTAATTTACTTGGGTTGTAACAGGAAAATGTAATGTCGAAATCCTCCCTTTGGCATTAGTAAGATTTTGCTGGGCTCGGTGGTTAAGAGCATTTACTGCTTTTGTATTGAACAAGAGTTTGGTTCCCAACACCCATATCAGCAGCTCCCAACTGCCAGTAGCTCCAGCTCCAGGGGACCCAAGGCCCTCTTCTGGACTCTGCAAATACCTGCACTCACATGCACAAAAATTATACACACACACACACACACACACACACACACACACACAAACACATACATACACACACAATACACACACATATACACACACACACACACAAACACATACATACACACACAATACACACACATATACACACAAACACACATAAACACAACATACATACACACACACTACACAAAAATAAGAACTAAATATATTTTTTAAAAGACTTCATTTTGCTTCCTTCCAATACCACATGCAAATTACTGTGCTGACAATAATGCTAGAAGATATTGGCTCCCACAAATTGTTCATCTTTTAGGAAAAGTTTTTGGTTTTGTTGTGTTTGAGATAGTCTCACTTTATAGTCCAGACCTGACCAAAACTCACTATGTAGCCCAGGGTGGTCGTGAACTCAAAGCTGGGATTACTGGCCTGAGGCACCATGCCCAGCTCCCAGAAGCAGTTTTACCAGATCAAATGTTCTGCTGCTAACCCCAGAATATGCTTATGCTTAACATTCTCATAAGACTCCTAAGAAGAGGGGCTGGAGAGATGGCTCAGTGTTTAAATGCACTGATTTTGCCGGGCATTAATGGCATATGCCTTTAATCCCAGCACTCAGGAGGCAGAGGCAGAGGCAGGTGGATCTCTATGAGTTCTAGGGCAGCCTGGTCTACAGAGCTAGTTCTAGGACAGGCTCCAAAGCCATACAGAGAAACCCTGTCTCAAAAAAAAAAAAAAAAAAGACCAGGGGTTGCTATTCCAGAGACTTGGGTTTGATTGTCAGCACCCATGTGGTGCCTAACAACCAACCTTCTGTAACTCCTGTTCTAAGGGATCTGACACCCTCTTCTGTTGTCCTCGGGCTTTGTACGCAAGTTGTGTACAGGCATACATGTGGACAAAACGCTCACCCACATAAAACAATTCAAACTCCAGCTGGGGAGTGGGGAGTGTAGCACACACCTTTAATCCCAGCACTCAGGAGATAGAGGCCAGCCTGGTCTACAGAGTGAGTTCCAGAACAGCCAAGGCTACACAGAGAAACCCCGTCTTGAAAAAAAGAAATTTCAAACTCCAAAGGATAGGAAACTGTGTGTGCTATAGGATATTGGTCACACTGTGAACCCCAAAATTGCATTAGTTACTGGAAAAGGCTGCTTCTAATTGTGGTGTGGCTCAGCCCTAGCACATACCTTTAATTCAAGAGCTCCCTGCTTGAATAGTGTAAATAGAATTAAATAAGGTCAACCATGGGTTCAGAGGTGGAGCAAGAAGCCAGTTGTCAGAAAAAAAAAAAAATCATAGAGGGTAAGGAGGAGTCGGGAGGAAGGATAGAGAGGCACACAGGAAGTAGAAGGGGGTGAGTTTGAGGTGTTTTGTTTGAGACAGCATAGGAAAGAGCTCTCTTTGTGGGATGTCTGCAGAGGAGGAAGGTCAGCAGGTGCTTCCTCTGCCTCCCTGAGTCTGCAGGCTTCCACCCCAGCATCTGGCTTCCGAGTCTTTATTGGTAAAATTGAACAATTAAGATTTTGTCAAAAACCACATGTGTGTATTATAATTTTCCCTTTATTCATCTGCTCTTTTAAATCCTACATTAGCAGTTCTTTGTTACAATGGATAAGCCAATACTGATACACTATAATTGACTGACTCTGTAATTAACTCTTTCTATTGTGGGTGTTGACAAATATACATTGACACAAAGCCACTACCTCCACAGTTTTGCCTCTTGGAATGGCATATAGTTGGCATTGTGGTTATAAAGTATTTCCTGGGGGAATGTGTGACTATTTCCCCAGAAACTGAGCAGTCTCTTAAGACTCGGGAAGTGTGCGTAACTTGCACAGCTCACTAGGCCACTTCTCTGAGGTAACACAAGTGGCAGCAGTACCTGGAGAGAAGGAAAGACAGAGCTCTGAGAGGTGCACAGGGAGCCCCAGCCATGCTGCTCCTGAGTCATCACCATGCTGGGGTGAAGCTTCTGATGACACAGCTACCTATAAGTCAACCACGCCCCTAAGCTAGACTTAGGTGGAATCCTTCCTTCGGTCTGTCATCAGTGCCCTGTTTGGGACTGATAGACACGTGTTTACTTCTCCCCAAGCCAAGTCTCCTAATACCCCCACAGACTCATCTGATACCCCCACAGACTCATCTGATACCCCACAGACTCATCTGATACCCCCACAGACTCATCTGATACCCCCACAGACTCATCTAGTACCCCCACAGACTCATACGCTGAACACTGGGTCCCCAACAAGTGTCACTGTTTTGGAGGTTCCTGTGAAACTGTCCGAGGCGGGGCCAGGCTGAAGGAGAAGTCATTGGGGTATAGACTCATGTTGTACTTCACCTCGGTCCCTGCCTCTCTGCCCATGGCTCCTGCCGGCATTGTCCCACCTTACTGTGGTCCCAAAGACCGTGAAGCCTAGGACTATGGTCTATAATACTTCCTTTCACTTGGGTATTTTGTCAAGGCAAAAAGAGCCAATTGATAAAGAAATCAGTGCCAATGAGGATTGCTGCCACAGCTATCTGTGATGTGCCATGTCAGATTTCGGAGCCGGTTTGCAGAAGGAGTTTGAAAGCATTTGAGGAAAGCAGACTAGGAAAAGCTTAGGCTGCAGAACATACTGGGCAACCCTCCGGTCAGAGCTTAAAGTGCTGGTAGAAACACAGATGGCTTAAATAGCAACGAGGACTCTATCGAGAACTGGACTAGAGGCCACAAGGGCTGCAAATGGCAAGATCACAGTAATGGGGCTTTCCATGCCTGACCAGGGGTAGCTGTCTAAATCCAAGTTTCCTGGTTCCCAATATCTTGTTCAAATTTGATGCAAACTGTATTAGTTTAAGGGGACAGTCATTGAAAATCTGTAACCAAGCACTGGAAACTCATGACTCATCAGGAGCTTCCAACATTATAGACAAAAACAAACAAAAAATGTCAACTCTTTACCTATTGTAGTGAATAATTAAATAAAGCTGAGAACATGCACATTTCAAATTTCTCTACAGCTACTGTTAGAAGAATCACAGACACTGCAAAGTGTGCATGGGGGGTGGTATTTGATTCTCTGTAGCATTGCATATGTGGGTATATAGGAAACACCCCAACAGGACACCTTGGAAGTGGTTAACTCTGGGGCAAAACAGAGGGAGGAGGGGAATCTTGGGTGAGGGTTGTACACACACATGTGTGCCTTCCTTCCCCAGGGGCGTGGGTTAGAGTGAGGGCATCCCTGTCAACTCGGTTTGAGGAGGCTTTGAATCCAGAGAGCACTTTCAAGGAGTCTCCAAGGTTCCAACAGCAGCTCTAGCCATCTAGACACTAGCTGCTGAGGCTCCTGCTTCCTGCCTCTTTCCTCCTTCTCTGAACATCAGTGTGTCGGGGAATAGCCATCAGGGACTCACACCTGGCTTCCTCCAAACCCTCCCAGCTCCCTCTCTTTTGCCCCAGTTCCAAATACCCAGGCCACATGACTTTCAAGTATCAATTGTTTCTTTTTTTTTTTTTTTTCCTAATGCATTCTGAAGGCTAAAATTTGTAACAATTGCAGTGTTGTGGAGAGATCCAGAATGTCAGCCTTCCCAAAGAGTGAGATAATAAAGCCACCCTCTTGCCATTTTCCCATAACTCCTCCTCCTGTTATGGGCTCTTCCTTGCTTCAACCATCCCAGTGTTACCAGCAGTTTTCCCCGCCAGCCTGGTCCCACAGCTGCATCAACCCCAAATAACACACAGAGACACTGTATTCGTTATAAACCTGTTGGCCAGTTACTAATATTTCTTATTGGCTAGCTCTGTCTTAAATATTAACCCATTGCTATCAATCTAAATGTTTCCATGTGGTCTTATCTTACTGGAGAGAGGGTCCAAACTTCTCTCAAGTCCCTACATCTTGACTCCCCTGTACTATATCTTCCAGAATCCTCCTTGTCTTCTAGTCCTGCCTATCTTGCTTCCCTATTGGCCAACAGGGCTTTATTCATTAACCAATAAGAAAACCATATTTACAGAATCACATCTCCCATTACCCCAGTGATGCAGGGGGGTGGGGGGTGGGGGAGAGACCATGGCAGAGCAGGCTCCTAGTGGGTGATGTTGCGCCTTTTTTCACACGCCCAGCGGTTCACCTGCTGGCAGAAGTTGTCGTTCCAGTGCCCATCTGACAAGATCTCAACACAGTCCTCACTTCCACCCTGTTCATGGCCCTGCCAGTTATCTGGCTGAGTGAAGTCCCAGTTCCTAAGAAGGTAAACCAAAGGAAACTCAGGGTCCAACCTCCCTACAACCCTGTCCCCACCCCCAAAAAGCACAGCCTTGGAAGGGTCCAAGGATTGAAGATGTACAGGCTTGGAAATGGGGCAGGAGCAGGTAGGAGGTTGGGGAATTTGACCCTGAGAGACCTATAGGAGTGCACTGGGGTGAAAGGCCCGGTGTTCGTCCTGGAGAGAACAAGGAGATACACTCGGGGAGGTACTGACTTGTAGTTGCTTCTGTATTCGGTTCCATCCACCCATTTCCAGAAGCCATCCCTGTCAGTGAGACCTATCCAAGTGTGAAACGAGCCCGTGTGCTTCACAACGAATTTCTAGAAAAGCAATTGTGAGAGCAAATTGCTTCCTCCCTGATCCAGGACAGCATCCAAGTGACCCCACCATACCCCAGCCTGACCTGCTCAAATGCTGAAGCCTTAGCTCCCAACAGCTATACCCTCGCTTCTCCCTCTGTGAACACGGCTAGTGTTAGATGAACATTTACTGAGCCTGACTTTGTACCAAGTGCTTTACAAGGATCATCTCATTTGAGCCTGAGGAGCTCCCCAAGGTGGGTGCCATAGTAACTGACTTGCAAGGTAGTTATTAGACCTTAGAGAGCATATCCAGCTTCCAGCTTGTGACAACCATCCTGTTTCCAGCCTGGGCCCATTTCTCACTCCATTCCTAGCAGCGCTGCTATGGCAATGCCGGTTTTCTCATGTTCTGCTGCAGAATCTTGGTGATCCTGCCCTTGCTGTCCCACAAATCCCAGAACCCAAGAAACACCTTGGTTTCACTCTTCTCTCTGTTCGCCCCTAGTTCTCTTGCTGTGGTCTTGATGTCATTCCCTGAGGTTTGTGGGCTCCAGCACTTCCAGGCTTGGGACTCATTGCCCAGAACTACATTTTGACCTGACTACAAAGGCCCTGACAGTCTCTACTGAAAATAGGAAGATGCCTGGGTAAAAGGCAGCTGGCCTGGACAAGGAACTGTTGCTGGCCTCAGTGCAAATGTCCCTGCGCTTACAGCTAGATTCCTAGGACTAAAGCCTTTCCAAGGGGCTTGCTCGTACAAATGCGGCTGTTCTTGAAATTTAAATCCCATCGTTTTGGAAGAATACAAGGAATGTATAGTCACCTGGTTTTATAAACTAAACAGAGAGTCAGTTTGACCAGCATATACTCTAATAATAATCCCCTTTGATAGCCTGTGAACCTTCATTTGGAGAAAAACTGCCCATTCTACTCACACACACCCCCCACAGAGATCACGGTCGCCCACTCCTCCAAGAGCAGACTCAGAGACAATCCTGTCCATAAAGTCTACAATTCTGCATGTATATCCCATTCATGAAGAAGCAGCTGCCCAGGGCTGGGGAGGCTGCTCCACAGATTCAGAAGTACCAACAGGGATGGGCAAAGGGATCTGGAGACAGGACGTTCTGGTTGTTGCTACTTGATGCTGCCCTTTCCTAAGTGAACACAGAAGTGAGCTGCACCTGTTCACAGCAGTGTCAGGAGGGAAATCACCACATAACTCCTGTCCCACCTGCAAAGAGGAACCTGAGCATTTACATTACAAGCAGCTGTAGACTGTGCACCAACAGTTGAGCATATAAGCCATTTGTCCCCAAAACCATTGATTGGGTCATTTTTGAGGTCAATGTACTTACTTTAAAAGTAAGAAGCATGGGGTTGGCATTTGTTACCAAAGCCAAAAACCACTAATTCAAAACACAAAGACCCAAAAATGGTTGTAACTGAAATGATGGACAGAAACGACAAAAAAAAAAAAAGCAGGGACCACACCCTGTGTGTCATTGGAAGATGAGTTCAAGGCTGAAAGTATTAAGTGAGATGTTCAGAATGACGGCAGCACAATGCACCACGAAATTGTAGTCATGAACTCATGAGGCAAAGCTTAGGCTGAATTACATACAATACATGTTTTCTTATGTCAGAAGAAACTAACTGCTGACAAACTCCAACCTAATCAGTAAATATGTTTGAAATCACAGTAAAAATCAAATACATAGCTGACAAGCAGCAAATATTCAATAAATACTTTCTGACTTCTGTATCAAATAGTTTAATTGCTTTAGCACTATAACATTTCCAAGTCCAAACAGAACAAAGCCCCCGTGGACCCTTTAGCATTAAAGCAGCAGGCAGTAGTTGACATAGGGGCCAAGTGGGTCTCAGTCCTGACCACGTGAGGGTTTGCTGGCTCTGCAACATATCACCTGACCTCCCTTCCCTTGGGTCCTGAACTCCAGGTGGGGATGATTAGGGTACCCACCCAACAAGATGGTGAAGATTAAAGAAATGAACTCATATACATGTCCAAATTGTAGTAAGACCTGCATCGAACTCAATCATTAACCTCCTTGTGCAAAACTGTCCATCCACTCTACCAGATTGGTTCCCCTCCATGAACTTTGGTTTTCAGGTTACTATCAGGGAACAGCCGTGGAGAAGGAAGACACAGGACACCTGTGGTCAGTGAGGACCCAGTGACCCACCACAGGAGAACAATTTAAGTCTCCCAATGTGTTCCTTCTGCCACACCCAACAGCCAACACAGCAAGAAAGGATTCTCAACCCCTCCCAACCTTGACCTTAAAGTCTTGTCTGTCATTCTGTCTTGTGGCTGTTTGTGCATCACTTGGTGACCCCTGGCTTTGTTTTCCTCTTGGCTCCCACCTCTTAGGATCAGTTACTGTTCTGTCATGAGCTGCCCAGAGCCCTACCACACTCTTCTGTATTGTTCCTTAGGTTAAAAATAAATACATCCAGGCAATAAAACAAAACCTGCCTCTGCCTCTCTCAGCAGCCAACTGCCAGCAGCCCCTCAGCCAGGGGTGAGGCTTCCATCCACCCTGGGATTTGGGTTGGCTTGACCTAGTACAGGTCTTGTGCATGCCACTAGTTAGTGCACATGAGCCATTGCATGTTCATGTGTGCAATGGCCTTGTCACGTCCAGAAACACAGTTTCACACCAGTCCTCCATGACCTCTGGCTTTTAGCCCCTGGTTAGATACCCATGCTTCAGTAAACAGATGCCCCTATACCCATGCACATACTAGAAAGCACCAATTGGACTTTAAAAAAGAAGACTGTGTAAAGCTGTGAGGGACATGTTGTTGGGAACCAGCAGTCTGCTGGCCCCGCCCCTGACGATGGGCGGGACGCTCATGGCTATGTCATCACTACGTCAGGCTTTACCTGGCTGCTCAAGCTTTACCTGGCTGCCAGAGAACTCAGTTACGCATGTGCAAGCCCCCCTTTTAAAGCACGCGCACCAAGCACGCCCCCTTCTCTTGCCCTCCCTCTCTTGCTCTTTCTCTCTGGCCTTCTCTCTCTGCGCTCTTTCTGTCTTTCTCTTTCTTCTCTCTCCAAACCCTGCTTTCGTTGGCCACCAGCTACCCCCCTTTCTCTCCCCTCTCTCAATAAACTCCACGTGGGCGCTGAGTTTGTATTTGTGTTTCTTAGGCGATAGCTGCAGCAAAAGAACAACACATGTGATACAGTGGTTCGCAGAATTTACAGAGAAGGTGGAGGAAGGGCTAGGTTAGATCAGAACACATTGTATAAAAGCATGAAATTCTAAAAGGATAGTGAAAGTAAAAAGCAAACAAATTGAGTAAATAAATAAGAAATACAAGGGCCAGTGAGATGGCTCAACCGATAAATGCAAGCCTAATGACTTGAGTTCAATCTCCAGAATTCACATAAAAGAGGAACGAGAGAACCAACTCCACTAAGTTATCCTCTGACTCCATACGCATGCCACAGCATACACATTTGATAATAATAATAATCATAAATAATAATAGGTAGGGGCCAGGCAGTGGTGGTGCAGGCCTTTAGTCCCAGCACTTGGGAGGCAGAGGCAGGTGGATCTCTGTGAATTTGAGACCAGCCTGATCTACAGAGCAAGTTCCAGGACAGCCTCCAAAGCTACAGAGAAACCCTGTCTTGAAAAACCAATAATAATAAGAATAACAATAATAATAATAATAGTAGTAGAGAACAGAAGCTTGACCAGGCTGCTTGATCAAGCCTACCATCAGGGTTGCTCACCTGCTCCTCCCAGGAGTTGATAACCACCAGGTGGGCATTCTCCAGCTGGCAGTACTCAGCAGCCTCAGCCCAGGTCAGCCCCACCCGAGAAAACCAGTAGCAGCTGCCCCCATGTTCCATCCAGTTAACTGGACAGCATTCTGTGCCTGCGGGAACAGAAAGGCAGAGGGAAATGCGATCCACCTGGGAGACACAGACACACTGGGATCAGAGCCATCCCTGCCCCTACCATTGCTCTGGTGGAATGCCAGCTGACAGGTTAGGATCCGCAGATCCAGTGGGAAGTGCTTCAGGTGCAGGAGCAAAGTGGAGTGATCTAAGGACAAACACATGGACCGAGATGCAGCAGACATGCGGCTGCATACCTGCCAAGACCAGGCACAGAGCTCCAGCTATTGTCTGGGGAAACACACAGATGCATACCACCCTACACATCATCATGACCCAGAAGTGTGGTGGGGGTGACCACTGACCTGTTTTCAGGTCCTGTTGCTTTTTCTCCAATGTGGCTACCAAGGACATCAATGTGTCATCTCTGCTACCTCCTGAGAAAGAGGGATGACAAATGGTTCCCTCGTCAGTCTGCCTCCTGAATGCTTCTCCAGCTGCACACTCCTGGGTACCTTGTACCACGTGCTGCTTGTCGGCACCTAGACTCCCTCACCCAAGTGAGGCCACTGTGCTGCTTAAATTCTTTCACTGGTCCCCTGTGTTTTCAGGCCCGGCTTCACTCAGTCCACACAGCTTGCTGTGTGACCTGGTGCCTCCATCTCTCTGACCCCTCACCACTGTCCATCGATCACCACCTCCTGCCCCACTAAACGTGTATGTGATCCTAAAATGCCCAGTGGTCTTCTTCACCCCCGGACATCCTGGCTTCTTCTTGCCTCTTCCTGGCACTAACTTCCAGAATGTCGGCCCTCTGCCCAGATTCTCCTTCCAAGCCCCTTAGGTCAGGGTTCCTGTCTCCAGAAGCCTTGCCAATTCCCCTGGCTGGATTGTCTGCCTTGGTTTTTATGTGCAGAGCCCACGAACACACTCCTACTGCAGACCCAGCACCATGTCCAGACAATCTACATGGATAAACATCCGTGGATAAAGTCCCAGCCACCCCACCCAACTTACCATGGGAATCCAGAGCCCTGAACTCCATCAGGATGCTGGAGGAGAAGTTGCTGAAACTTTCTTTCAGGGTCCAAAACTCCTCTTGCAGCTGCATGCCTGGTCAGGGGACATTTGGGACCAGTTGGCTGTGGGGCTATGTCCCAGTGAGTCACATCTCTGTCCATGTGACTGGCCCCATGTCACCCATCACTACTACGTCATTGATTTCCATCTGCACCCAGAGCCTGCCCCAAGCTGCCTCCACCTCTCCCTTTCTTCCCTGCATCTGTGCCCTGCCACTCCCCCAGAGCACTCTTCTATGCTGGCCTCTTCCTTGCCAGGCCATGACCTCACTTTGGGATGAAATCACACAGATGACCACCAGCAGCAGGACATTGAAGGCCAGGGCAAACACATTGAGGTAGAGCCTGAAGCCAAGGCTCTGTGGAAAGGGTGGGAAAGGAGGCTGCCCTGTGAAAGAGAGAGAGTGTGTGTGTCAGAAAACAATTCCAGAGGACTAGAGACAGAGAACAAGACACAGACGGGGACGAGGGCACAGAAGTCTGAGGAGGCACAGCTTGGGTAAGAGAGAGAATCAGGTGAGGGCTGAGCGAATCGGGTGGATTTTGATCCCACAACATGCGTGCAGTTACACACAATCACCCACATGAACATGTACAAACACTCACATGCACATGACACAAGATGTGCCAGCTGTGTACACAGGTGAGCTGTGTGCCAGCTGTGTACATAGGTGAGCTGTGTGCCAGCTGTGTACACAGGTGAGATCTTACACCTGGGACAGGGAGACACAGAGATGCAGGGGTTCGGAACTGGCCTTTCCTAGACACCCTGAAACAGGAGCTCTACAAATGGTTTTTATTCCTGCCCATGAATCAAAAAGACCTACAGACCACCTCTATCCTACATAGCCCCTGTCCGGTCACACTGGAGTGTTGACAGGCTAGGTCATGTACTCTTCTTAGACAACACCCACACCTGTCACACAAGCTGGAACAATGCCTCCCTTCACAATTCCACTGGGATTCTCCAGTCTAGCTCACCCCACCATGAAGTATGCCCCCCAAAAGCCACTGCCCAAATCCACTCACTTTACCCATCTCCCCCCAGTTCCCACCACCCTTGTTCTCATCCCCAGAAACCCCAGCATCACTGGCAGTGCTGTTCCTTTGCCCACCCATCATCTTACAGGAACCTCTGCTGCCCCTTGACCCAGCTGCTGCTACTCACCTTTCTCCATTCACTCTAACAAGCACACATTTTCTCATACACACAGACTTGTGCATACATCCCTACACTTTGCCATACTCTCTTATTTGCATTCTCACTCACCTGTATCTTCACCTGAATGAACTGGCTTGCCTCTTCAGGACCAAAGGGGTGATTCCTCTCATCCTCACAGCACACACACACACACACACACACACACACACACACACACACACTTTTGTACCATCCACCTGCACTCACACTCCTCTGCATCAGCCTGTGACTCTGTGGCCTTCTCTGTCTCAGTGTCATCATGCCAAAACAACCTGGCGTCCTGGAGGTAATCTCAGTGAGGAGCCTGGAATCCTCCTGAGGTCATTTCCTACTGCTATACTGAGTTGGATATTTGCAGCCATACTTAGGATCACCACTTAATGCCTCTGGGAGAGAGGCCTCTAAGCTCTCCCCAACCCCAGACCCCTAAGCACAGCCTCCCCTGCCTCTCACCTCCTCTGACACCCTCCTGAAATCTGAATTCCTCTCTGTGGGGATTGGTATGTGCCCCCAAAATGATCCCCAGTGCAGCAGTGTTGGGAGGGAGAACCTAGAGGAAGGCTGTAGGTCTTAAGGACTCTGCCCTCCTGAGTGGATTATTGACATCATTACAAGAAAGCAGCCTTATTAGAAGTTTCCCCCTTTGCTGTCCCTTCACCCGCCCCATGCCCTCCCACTTTGGATTGATGCATGAGAAAACCCTACCAGACACAGCCCTCAGTCCCGGACTTCCCAGACTCAAGAAGCCTAAGCCGGGTCATTATAAGTTTCTTAGTATTGTGCATTCTGTTTTAGCAGCACAAGACAGGCTAGGATATACTCCATCTAGAAGCACTTTCTGACTGCTTCTGCTAGTACTGTTCATGCAGGAAACCATTGTTCTGATCCCCACCTGACCTGTGATTTATCAAGACCTGACCCAGTCAGCCAGAATAAATCAGCTGAGCCACCAACTAGGTCTGACATCATTCAATCTCTTAGTGTCCCCATTTTTTCATCTCTATGACAGTTACAAGAGTAGCCTCCTGACTTAGTGGTTCTGGGAATTATATGAGTTAAAGCATAGAAAGCACAGTGTAGGCAAGTTTGAAATGCTCTACTAAAGATGGAATAGAAGCTGCTAGATTTAACATTCTTTCCAAAAAAAAAAGCTAAAACACACATACATCTATATACATACATACATTGGTACACATGTATGTATGTATGTATGAAGCAACAGTTTTCAAGTCACTGGACATCAGGCCATGGAGGGCACTGATCCCTGAAAGATGGGGAAATGAACAAGATGAGTCCTCCCATTGCCCAGCTCACTACTCACTACCTGGAGAAACTTTTCAGGTCACTGGGCAGAGAGGAAAAATGGGACAGAGTCTAGCAGACTCCCTGAATTGAGGAGACAACTTGTAAGCCTGAAACCACAACAGTCAGGACCAAGGGGTCAGGCCCTAAGCCACTTACCCACATCCCGGAAAGCTGAAGAACACTTAGAGGAATACAAAAGCACCCAGCATCCAGCAAGACACAAGTCACAATGCTGGGCATCCAATCATAGTTTACAAGACACATTATGAAACAGGAAAACACAGTTCGAATGAAGGAGATGGGTGAATGGACAGAGCAGACAGGAGGTGTGTCAGGGATATGACACTTGTCAATAGGTGTAAGTCCCTGGGTCCAATTGCCAGCATCAAAAATAAATACTCAATACATGAATCTATCAAAATGAGATCCCAGGATCTTTCAAACCAGACTCAGAAGTGGCACTGATGTTAGGACAGACAGGATACTGACATAGGATGCTAGGACTGCAGTGCAAACATTAGAGATAGGAAAGGTAGCTAAAGGGCATGGTAGAGCACACCTGTGATCCCAGCACTCAAGAGGCTAGAATAGGGGACTTCTGAGAGTTTCAGGCTAGCTGGGGCTACACAGTGAGTCCCAAGGCAGCCGGGGCTACAAAGTGAGACTCTGCCCCATAACAACAACAAAAGTCTCAAGTTTCCTCCAAGATGAAAAATGCAGTGTCTGGGGCTGTAGAGATGGGCTCAAGTGGTTATAAGAGCACTGGCTGCTCTTCCAGAGGTCCTGAGTTCAATTCCCAGCACCTACATGGTGGCTCACAACCATCTGTAATGAGATCTGGTGGCCTCTTCTGGCCTTCAGGCAGAACACTGAATACATAATAAATAAATAAATCTCAAAAAAAAAAAAAAAACAGAAAAGAAAATTACAGTGTCTGAAACACACCAGGTAGCCAGCCTAAGTCTGAAACACACCAGGTAGCCAGCTCTCCTGCCCTAAAACCTTTTCCCAACCAAGGGGTGGGGGCTGTGTTCAAAAATACAGTGTCTGGGGCTGTAGAGATGGGCTGTAAGAGGAGCGTTCAAGCAGCAAACTAGTGGGATCGCCCAGCATCTCCATGTGCCCATTTCTGCACCTTCCCCAACTCATCCCCATACCCGAAGCTCTGGATTCCACACCCCTCCTAGGCATACACATGCACAGGCACACTTAGTCTGGAGGGAGGACTCATCTCTAGCTAGCTTCCGGTGTTCTCACTGCTAGGCACATACCCTTTCCTTGGGACCCTGCAATCAGAGGTATCGGCAGCTGGCATGTAGAGGGACATTGCACTGGCTAGTTTTATGTCAATTTGACACAGATAGAGTCCTCAGAGAGGAGGAAGCCTCAGCTGAGGAAATGAGTTCATAAGATTGCTCGTGGGCAAGCCTGTAGGGTATTTTAATTAGATTTGATGGGGGCGCGGGCTCAGCCTATGGTGGGTGAGGCCACCCCTGGGCTGAAGGACCTGGGTTCTAGAAGAAAGCAGTTGAGCAAGCCATGAGGAGCAAGGCAGGAAGCAACACTCCTCTGCACCAGCCTCCATGATCCTGCCCTGTTTGAGTTCCTGTCCTGACTTGTTTCAATGATGAACGGTGATGTGGAAGTGTGAGACAAACAAGCCCCTTCCTCCCTAAGTTGCTTTGGTCATGGTGTTTATCACAGCAACAGGGACTCTGACTGACAAATACACACCCTGCTCACTGAGTCAATGTGAGAAAACAGAGGAGCTGGCAGCTGAGACAGGGATCCAGGTGAGGCCCCAGAAACAGGACACTTGCCTTTCCAAAATGGATTTTCTGTCCTAGGATTCTGCCCATGAGTGCCTTGTTCCTCATCGCCACTGAGCTGATGGTCATTTTCCTCAGAGTCCAGCTGCTGGATATCTTGAAAATCCTTTGCCATGGCGGGCCTGAAGGGCCGGAGCTAGGTCCGGGACTGAGTTAAGATTTTCCTAGCTGAAACTTAGGTTTGTGAGTGGTTCAGAAGTTGGAGGTTAGTTTGGGGAAAGGCTCGAAATACTGCAGGGCCCCACCTCTTCCCAGGAGATGGTCTGGCCCTTGGCGCAACCAGGAGCCTTCCTATCATACTCTCTTGGATCAAACTATGCAGCATGTCCCCATTCCTCCCTCAGTGTCCCTGAACCTGTTCTTTTTTAGCCCTACACACCCCAGTCCCACCTGCCTCCCTCCCACCACCTCAGTTACCTGCTAAAGGTATAGAGAACCAGCTCTGGCTTCCAAAGGCAGCCCACGCACGAGGAGAAAGAGGGGTTAAACCTGGGCCAAGTGGACAGGTGGTGCTAGAAGAGAAGGGAGGAGGGGGATGGTCTAGGCGAGAGCTGGGTCCCTGTGTCTGAGTGTCTGAGTCCATCTAACCTGTCATCTCCTGCCCCCTGGGACTTTGGACAGTAAATAGAAATAGAAACACAGTTGGAAACGTGGGCAGTGAGCACTGGGGGTAAAGGACGTGTTTCTACTCTCACAACCAGAGAAAGAAGGGAGGTCTCCTTGAACACACACACACACACACACACACACACACACAGCTCAGCCCCACCCCCATTGCACAATGGAGGAAAAGGAGCCAGGTGTGGAGGGACCAGGATACAATTTGCTGTTTCTTTCTATCCCTCCCCTGTTTCACTTCCTGCCTCTTCCTTTTCCAGAACTGTTGATGTCTCCAAATATCTCTGGCCAGGATCAGAATGACCTACAGATCAGTTCCCTGTTCTTGCCCAATCTGAGCCTGTGGCCTGGCAACCAGCCACAGCTTCCTATGCACCAGGCTCCCCAGCTCTGCCCTTCACTCCAATTCCTTTTCCCCCTCCCCAACTCCTCCCAGATCCGCCTCATCTCCTTCCCACCCAGCTTTAGTTCCCCTTCTCTTGAAAGAAAGAAACCAAAGAAGAAAGTCAAAACAAACAAGCAAAAGACCAATGAGACAAAAACAAAACGAAGGAAAAAACCCAGATACGCATGGGGCTGGTGGAATGTGGTCGATATAACCAAGGACACGCCATTAAAGAAAACTGGTCTTTCCCTTTGCTAATGAGTATCAACTGCAAATAGCATAGCGTCTTGGTTAGGAGTGAGATCCAGGGTCCACCTCCCCTTATACTAGTAAGGGGTTTAATGAAGACACCCCGCGTAGGACCGAGTGCTCTAAAGATTCTCCCTCTCTGCTCGCTGCTCAGCTGTGGGTTTTCACTCTTGAGAAGGGAAGTTCCTCAAAACATGGAAGTCATGATCCTAGCACCACACTGAGTCCAGGAACACAGACATTGTCCTCATGCCCTGCTAGTGTTACACATTATCTCTAAAGGCTAGGGAGATGACTTGGGGAGTAAAGAACTTGCTTGGTGAGCATGAGGACTTGAGTTCAAATCTCCAGCACCCACATAAGAAGCCAGGCATGGCAATACACACCTATGTCAACACAGGGAGGGAAAGGAAAGTGACAGGCAGATCCACAGGACCAGTGTAGCCAGAGCAACAAACTCCAGGTTCAAAGCCACTCCGCCTCGGAGAATAAGGTAGAGAATAACAAAGCAAGACTCTAAAAACCCATTCCAGACTCCGCATGAAGTGGCACACACAGGCATAACCCCCACACACATAAATTATCTACAGATGTTTTCTCACTTATATAGATGTTTGCTCCCAACAACACCCTATGAGGTTAATATATTTGTCACTGGAAGAAAGGAGATTAAGTGACTTGGTCCATGTGACTGATAGTACAGTTCAGGTCTGAAATGTACCCCCAAAACTTGTGTGTTAAAGGCTTGGTCCCCAGACTAAAACCCTATTAGAATATGAGGGAATTGAGAGAGTGGAGCCTGCTGGGAGGTCTTCCAGCATCTGTAGGCGTGCCCTTGAGAGGAGACTGACCCCATTTCCCGTCAGGAGCCCAGCAGCCTTGCTCTACCTGCGTTCTCTGCCATGACGTGCCGCTTCATCATGGGTCCAAATCAATGGGGCAAGTTTATCATGGATTGAAGCCTCCAAAACCACAAGCCAAAATAAATCAGCTGTTTTAGCTCAAATAATTGTAGTACTAGATCCAGTTCTGACTGCTGTTCAAAGGCCAGTACTTGGGACATGAGAGCTGGAGGAAAGGAATTTGCTTTTATTCAAAGGCTGGCACCCTGGATGATGGGAAGAGCCACTGTCCACAACACCCATCTTAGAGAGTCCAGGTCCATGATATGGCTTTCGTGGGTAAAATGGGGGCAGCAGACAGGAAAAATATATTCCGAGTCATGGATCTAGATTCTATAGCCATCTTTGTTACAGGGTGGGGAGATGTTTTCTTTCTCTTTTACCAGAATATCTTTATGGAAACTATCAGCTTTCACCTCCTAGGATGACTCCTACAATACTTTACAAAAGATGGAGATGTGGCTCAATGTTTCAAGGTACGGGCCACTCCTCCAGAGGACCCAGATTCGATCCCTCAGCACCCACGTGCTGACTCACAACATCTGTAGCTCCAGTTCCAGGGCCTCTGACAAGCTCTTCTGGCCTCCTCAGGCACTGTACACAGATAGCCCACAGACATACATGCCGGCAAAACACCTACAAATAAATCAATCTTTTAATAACACGACCGGGCATTGGGGGCACATGCTTTCATCCCAGCACTTGGGAGGCAGAGCAGGTGGGTCTCTGTGAGTTTGAAGCCAGCCTGGTCTACAGAGGGAGTTCCAGGACAGGCTCCAAAGCTACACAGAGAAATCCTGTCTTGAAAAAACAAAAAGGGAGGGAGGGAGAGAGGGAGAGAGGAAGGAAGGAAGGAAGGAAGGAAGGAAGGAAGGAAGGAAGGAAGGAAGGAAGGAGAAATGAAAGCCACACTTCCTCTCTCGGTGAATGGACAGGGTTAGACAGTGTTTTGTGTTAGTTGGTGTGCATCCCGTGCTGTGTGGGGATCATCAGACGACCTGGATTCTGTCAGAGAAGTCGCTGTGGGCTGTTTCACAGCTCATGTCTTTTAGGTCTTTTTCTGAGGAACTGCTAACCTGGAAGTTTGAGATATAAAGCAGGGAGGGCCGCAGCAGGAGCTTTTACTAACTAGTTTCAACTCTCTAGCCAGCTTCAGTCAGGCGTCATCTACAGCAAAGCTACAGAGAGCTGATCACACCTGCTCTGCTGTAGAACCTACAAATTAGTGACCTCCCACCACCCATTTTGTTATTTTTAAAGGCAAAAAAGAAAACGTAAACTTTTGATTTTCTCCCCTCAGCTGGATCTACATTTTAAAGAGTAGCTACTCTCTCTGACAAAATCTTCCCCAGTCCCCACACAGCGTATGAATAGACTTTTCCTCCTTCAGGATGGATGCAATGAACTGAGTCATCCCACTACCAATACCACTCCACCCAAATGTCAAAGTCCTGGTCCCCTGGAGACTGCGCTGGAGGAAGATGAGGCCTTTTAGGAGGTAGTTTAGGTAAATGAAGTAATAAGAACGGGCGGTAGGGCCAGGTGGTGGTGGTGCATGTCTTTCATCTCAGAACTCAGGAGGCAGAGACAGATGGATCTCTGAGTTCTAGATCAGCCTGGTTTACAGAGCTAGTTCAAGACAGCCAGGTACACAGAGAAACCTTGTATTGAAGAAAAAAAAAAATCCTAGAAGATCAGTGCCCTTATACAAAAGGAGGACATAGACTGGCTCAATGCTAAAGTGTTTGCTTAGCATTGCAAGACATTCGATTTCATCCACTATAAACACAGAGGAAATTATTGATGCAGAAGTGGCTGTCTATAGCCAACAGACCCATGCCTACCAATGACCTTCTGACCTCTAGAACAACAGGGGGGAAAGGCGCTTAGTTTCCATATTTTATTATGGAAGCCCAAATAGACTAAACAATAGCCAAGAAGACTAAATAAGACTTAACATATGAGGTTCAGCAGTAAACATAAACAGAAGAACGCTCTCTTAAGATGGGCTTAATGGGGAGGGAGGTGGGATAATGGGTAGAAACACAGAGAGGACGCATGGGGCCTAGCACTGTACAGCATATTAACTATAGGTAACAGTATTTACCATATATTTCAGATAGCCAGAAACCTGGATTTATAATGTTCACAAAGATGCTATATACTCAAAATGGTGGAAACGCTAATTACCCTGACTTGATCAACTTCGAAATGTCACACCGAACCCTACAAATGTGTACAATCTATAAAGGAAGAGAAAAAAATTAGCAGTAAATAGAGAAAAAGGCTTTGTAATCTGTAATCTATATGATAAATGATTAATCTCACATGTATAAAGCAAGAATAGGAAACTACAAGAAAGCAACAATTGATAAAGAAAAGTAATTTCTGAAGAGCTGCCTTGAGTTTAATCAGGGATTGTTCATCTTGAAACACGATAAAGTGTGTGGAAGTCCTGATTAAATAGCAGAGTCCTAAATCTGTGACATATGAAACAGATATGCTTAGTTCCCCAGATCTCAGGGCTGAGATTTATGGCCCGTGTTTAGCCAGCGGTGAAGGGAATGCAGTACCTACAAACACCCAAATGATGAGTGGCTACATGTGGAATAGCCATCAAAGGGAATTTAAGTTGGTCATAAAAGGAAGGAATTTCTGACACATGTTACAATTTGGACCCAGAATAAGTCATGTGCTTAGTGAAATAAATTGCTCACAAAAGAAAGCAAATACTTTCCGACTCCATTTATGAGGGGCTTCGAGAAATCAAACTGACAGAGAGAGGAAGAATTGCACTTATCTGGGGCTTAGAGAGCAAGAACAGAAAGTTGCTTAGTGATATAGAGCTCTACTTTTGCTAGATAAAAACACACTGTAGGTAGATGGTTGGTGGCTGATATCAATATCAGACACCACAATGCCCACTTAAAAATGATTTCGAGCCAAGCATCACATAAGAGTAAACCCATCATCAGGAGGCTGAGGCAGG